AAAAAAAAACTACAACAATTCGTCTTCATGTCAAAATGAAGTGATGAATGAATACATAGGAACTCAACAGATGTAAAACAGTCCCTCATAGAAACTGAATGACATTCAAATTCGTTGCATGAATTAATCATAAAATCAATAATAACATAACTTTTCAACGCTCATAAGTCATTCATATTAGAACAGATACATTGAAAAAGAAAACAATTTTTGAGTCTCTACTTTCATTTTTCCGATAGACTATGATGAAAATGAATTAGGGCGATTGGGGGTGTTATGGATCCCTTACCCGCTGCGGTAATGTTAGCGCGGATGCACTTTACGACAAAGAAAACGTAAAAAAGGAAAATGAAAATAATGAAAACTTAGCAAGCCGTCACGGACAGCAAAGCCACGGACGTAGGCCAAGCCCCACGGCGCCCGACTAGAAAACCCGTGCGAGACGAGCACCGACCGAACGAGATCATCCATCAAAGCGTGATACGAGGCTCCGCGGCAAGAGGGGAGCGCGAGCTATTTGGGACGAGAACAAGCCGATAGCGGTTTTATACATTGGCTACATCAAGCAAATCACCGTTGAGGATCACAGAGTACGGCGGAAGACGGGCCACGGACCAACGACCAGTCGGGTGGTCTAGTAGCGAGGTGGCAGTGGCCCACTGACTGAAACTCAACTCACATTAACAAGCGTTAGGAGAAAAAGCACAGGTAGGGTTTAGTGTGTGGTCGGCCACATTGCACCTAGTTCGTTGAGAGAGTGCTCTAGAGGCTGTATTATGTGCAGTTGCAGGAAAGACGCACAGCAGCTCGCTCGCCTCGGTTCGATGCGCGAGTACGGTAAATGCGATGAGTTCGAAAAACCACAGGACGTGGAGCTCATGTGCATGCTGGTATGGAGCTCGTTCATTTGCTGATAGCTAAGCTTTTGTAAACACACTGAGAGCAGCTGGTGCGCGGCAGGACTACTTAGCGTTAGCAAAAGACAGTGAGCTGGCTCCAAGGCATTTCGATGGCTCGGCAATCACTTATTCAACCAGAGCAACTTCTTCCTACTGAAAGAACTTCTTAAATCGAACACAAACAAAGTTGATTTCTTTCGAATTTCGATTACCTATACTCGCAAATGTGACTAGAGAACATTCGACTGGCAAGAAAGACAATGCCATTTCACTGTGCAGTTTTTGTTCGTAATCGCCAAAACGCAATCTTCTTCCGCGATGATGCAAAGCCACTAGCGATTTCTGGTTCCTCAAATAAGTTCTTGTTGATTTCACAAACTCTAGTAATCATTTCTAACGTAAGTAAAAAGCGTTTGAAATCACCTGCGCACTCATCAAGCGGCTCTATAGCAAAGTCAATTCTGCAGGTACAGTAATCTAGGCGCTAATTTTGAAATGCTCTCACAACAGCGCTTCGTCATTTCACTGCATACGATGTTTCAGCATTTCTCATCAAAACATGAGCGCATTGTGACCGACATCGAAACCGTAACTACTCGAATTTTCTGCGTACTCTGAACGTTTTCCGCGACATGTTACTTTCAGTGTGCGGGCGTGTTCAAATACAGCCATGCCGATGACTGGTGAATGGCATGACTCAACAGCCAGAAAGGCCTTCTCTGCTCGAAGTGTCTAATGTAAACTAAACAAAAAAGGCGAGTAGCGACGTTTTCCATGTGATAATGTATCATAATGTTACTGCGTTGTTCAGATAACAGAACCAACGTTCATCGTCTTCACACTTACATGACACGGCGGGTACATAACCCTGAAGACCCGGTAGCACGTAGGGATTGAACTGTTGAGCTGGTTGTGGATTGGCTGAGTACACAACCGCTCCGTTCTTGTCCACTGCTGGACGCTTGCAGGGGACACCGGCCTAAACGGACCCACCTTAGCATGTCGTGAAAGGGGTATCGTGCACACTGGAGCTCATGCCACAACACGCCACGGCGTTAGGTACAACTAAACCAAATGGAAAGCACGCCACGCAAAAGACGTAGCGGCCTAAAAAGAAGGAAAGAATACCGCAGCGGAAACGGCAGCAGCCAGATTGAGGAAGTGCGCCTGCTGCTGATCGGCGGCTAGC